GCTCCCTCCTCCCCGTGAGAGGTGCTGAAGGCACCTGGGGGTCCCCCCCGTGAGAGGGGCTGAGGGCCCTGGGGGCTCCCTCCTCCCCGTGAGAGGTGCTGAAGGCACCTGGGGGTCCCCCCCGTGAGAGGGGCTGAGGGCCCTGGGGGCTCCCTCCTCCCCGTGAGAGGTGCTGAAGGCACCTGGGGGTCCCCCCCGTGAGAGGGGCTGAGGGCCCTGGGGGCTCCCTCCTCCCCGTGAGAGGTGCTGAAGGCACCTGGGGGTCCCCCCCGTGAGAGGGGCTGAGGGCCCTGGGGGCTCCCTCCTCCCCGTGAGAGGTGCTGAAGGCACCTGGGGGTCCCCCCCGTGAGAGGGGCTGAGGGCCCTGGGGGCTCCCTCCTCCCCGTGAGAGGTGCTGAAGGCACCTGGGGGTCCCCCCCGTGAGAGGGGCTGAGGGCCCTGGGGGCTCCCTCCTCCCCGTGAGAGGTGCTGAAGGCACCTGGGGGTCCCCCCCGTGAGAGGGGCTGAGGGCCCTGGGGGCTCCCTCCTCCCCGTGAGAGGTGCTGAAGGCACCTGGGGGTCCCCCCCGTGAGAGGGGCTGAGGGCCCTGGGGGCTCCCTCCTCCCCGTGAGAGGTGCTGAAGGCACCTGGGGGTCCCCCCCGTGAGAGGGGCTGAGGGCCCTGGGGGCTCCCTCCTCCCCGTGAGAGGTGCTGAAGGCACCTGGGGGTCCCCCCCGTGAGAGGGGCTGAGGGCCCTGGGGGCTCCCTCCTCCCCGTGAGAGGTGCTGAAGGCACCTGGGGGTCCCCCCCGTGAGAGGGGCTGAGGGCCCTGGGGGCTCCCTCCTCCCCGTGAGAGGTGCTGAAGGCACCTGGGGGTCCCCCCCGTGAGAGGGGCTGAGGGCCCTGGGGGCTCCCTCCTCCCCGTGAGAGGTGCTGAAGGCACCTGGGGGTCCCCCCCGTGAGAGGGGCTGAGGGCCCTGGGGGCTCCCTCCTCCCCGTGAGAGGTGCTGAAGGCACCTGGGGGTCCCCCCCGTGAGAGGGGCTGAGGGCCCTGGGGGCTCCCTCCTCCCCGTGAGAGGTGCTGAAGGCACCTGGGGGTCCCCCCCGTGAGAGGGGCTGAGGGCCCTGGGGGCTCCCTCCTCCCCGTGAGAGGTGCTGAAGGCACCTGGGGGTCCCCCCCGTGAGAGGGGCTGAGGGCCCTGGGGGCTCCCTCCTCCCCGTGAGAGGTGCTGAAGGCACCTGGGGGTCCCCCCCGTGAGAGGGGCTGAGGGCCCTGGGGGCTCCCTCCTCCCCGTGAGAGGTGCTGAAGGCACCTGGGGGTCCCCCCCGTGAGAGGGGCTGAGGGCCCTGGGGGCTCCCTCCTCCCCGTGAGAGGTGCTGAAGGCACCTGGGGGTCCCCCCCGTGAGAGGGGCTGAGGGCCCTGGGGGCTCCCTCCTCCCCGTGAGAGGTGCTGAAGGCACCTGGGGGTCCCCCCCGTGAGAGGGGCTGAGGGCCCTGGGGGCTCCCTCCTCCCCGTGAGAGGTGCTGAAGGCACCTGGGGGTCCCCCCCGTGAGAGGGGCTGAGGGCCCTGGGGGCTCCCTCCTCCCCGTGAGAGGTGCTGAAGGCACCTGGGGGTCCCCCCCGTGAGAGGGGCTGAGGGCCCTGGGGGCTCCCTCCTCCCCGTGAGAGGTGCTGAAGGCACCTGGGGGTCCCCCCCGTGAGAGGGGCTGAGGGCCCTGGGGGCTCCCTCCTCCCCGTGAGAGGTGCTGAAGGCACCTGGGGGTCCCCCCCGTGAGAGGGGCTGAGGGCCCTGGGGGCTCCCTCCTCCCCGTGAGAGGTGCTGAAGGCACCTGGGGGTCCCCCCCGTGAGAGGGGCTGAGGGCCCTGGGGGCTCCCTCCTCCCCGTGAGAGGTGCTGAAGGCACCTGGGGGTCCCCCCCGTGAGAGGGGCTGAGGGCCCTGGGGGCTCCCTCCTCCCCGTGAGAGGTGCTGAAGGCACCTGGGGGTCCCCCCCGTGAGAGGGGCTGAGGGCCCTGGGGGCTCCCTCCTCCCCGTGAGAGGTGCTGAAGGCACCTGGGGGTCCCCCCCGTGAGAGGGGCTGAGGGCCCTGGGGGCTCCCTCCTCCCCGTGAGAGGTGCTGAAGGCACCTGGGGGTCCCCCCCGTGAGAGGGGCTGAGGGCCCTGGGGGCTCCCTCCTCCCCGTGAGAGGTGCTGAAGGCACCTGGGGGTCCCCCCCGTGAGAGGGGCTGAGGGCCCTGGGGGCTCCCTCCTCCCCGTGAGAGGTGCTGAAGGCACCTGGGGGTCCCCCCCGTGAGAGGGGCTGAGGGCCCTGGGGGCTCCCTCCTCCCCGTGAGAGGTGCTGAAGGCACCTGGGGGTCCCCCCCGTGAGAGGGGCTGAGGGCCCTGGGGGCTCCCTCCTCCCCGTGAGAGGTGCTGAAGGCACCTGGGGGTCCCCCCCGTGAGAGGGGCTGAGGGCCCTGGGGGCTCCCTCCTCCCCGTGAGAGGTGCTGAAGGCACCTGGGGGTCCCCCCCGTGAGAGGGGCTGAGGGCCCTGGGGGCTCCCTCCTCCCCGTGAGAGGTGCTGAAGGCACCTGGGGGTCCCCCCCGTGAGAGGGGCTGAGGGCCCTGGGGGCTCCCTCCTCCCCGTGAGAGGTGCTGAAGGCACCTGGGGGTCCCCCCCGTGAGAGGGGCTGAGGGCCCTGGGGGCTCCCTCCTCCCCGTGAGAGGTGCTGAAGGCACCTGGGGGTCCCCCCCGTGAGAGGGGCTGAGGGCCCTGGGGGCTCCCTCCTCCCCGTGAGAGGTGCTGAAGGCACCTGGGGGTCCCCCCCGTGAGAGGGGCTGAGGGCCCTGGGGGCTCCCTCCTCCCCGTGAGAGGTGCTGAAGGCACCTGGGGGTCCCCCCCGTGAGAGGGGCTGAGGGCCCTGGGGGCTCCCTCCTCCCCGTGAGAGGTGCTGAAGGCACCTGGGGGTCCCCCCCGTGAGAGGGGCTGAGGGCCCTGGGGGCTCCCTCCTCCCCGTGAGAGGTGCTGAAGGCACCTGGGGGTCCCCCCCGTGAGAGGGGCTGAGGGCCCTGGGGGCTCCCTCCTCCCCGTGAGAGGTGCTGAAGGCACCTGGGGGTCCCCCCCGTGAGAGGGGCTGAGGGCCCTGGGGGCTCCCTCCTCCCCGTGAGAGGTGCTGAAGGCACCTGGGGGTCCCCCCCGTGAGAGGGGCTGAGGGCCCTGGGGGCTCCCTCCTCCCCGTGAGAGGTGCTGAAGGCACCTGGGGGTCCCCCCCGTGAGAGGGGCTGAGGGCCCTGGGGGCTCCCTCCTCCCCGTGAGAGGTGCTGAAGGCACCTGGGGGTCCCCCCCGTGAGAGGGGCTGAGGGCCCTGGGGGCTCCCTCCTCCCCGTGAGAGGTGCTGAAGGCACCTGGGGGTCCCCCCCGTGAGAGGGGCTGAGGGCCCTGGGGGCTCCCTCCTCCCCGTGAGAGGTGCTGAAGGCACCTGGGGGTCCCCCCCGTGAGAGGGGCTGAGGGCCCTGGGGGCTCCCTCCTCCCCGTGAGAGGTGCTGAAGGCACCTGGGGGTCCCCCCCGTGAGAGGGGCTGAGGGCCCTGGGGGCTCCCTCCTCCCCGTGAGAGGTGCTGAAGGCACCTGGGGGTCCCCCCCGTGAGAGGGGCTGAGGGCCCTGGGGGCTCCCTCCTCCCCGTGAGAGGTGCTGAAGGCACCTGGGGGTCCCCCCCGTGAGAGGGGCTGAGGGCCCTGGGGGCTCCCTCCTCCCCGTGAGAGGTGCTGAAGGCACCTGGGGGTCCCCCCCGTGAGAGGGGCTGAGGGCCCTGGGGGCTCCCTCCTCCCCGTGAGAGGTGCTGAAGGCACCTGGGGGTCCCCCCCGTGAGAGGGGCTGAGGGCCCTGGGGGCTCCCTCCTCCCCGTGAGAGGTGCTGAAGGCACCTGGGGGTCCCCCCCGTGAGAGGGGCTGAGGGCCCTGGGGGCTCCCTCCTCCCCGTGAGAGGTGCTGAAGGCACCTGGGGGTCCCCCCCGTGAGAGGGGCTGAGGGCCCTGGGGGCTCCCTCCTCCCCGTGAGAGGTGCTGAAGGCACCTGGGGGTCCCCCCCGTGAGAGGGGCTGAGGGCCCTGGGGGCTCCCTCCTCCCCGTGAGAGGTGCTGAAGGCACCTGGGGGTCCCCCCCGTGAGAGGGGCTGAGGGCCCTGGGGGCTCCCTCCTCCCCGTGAGAGGTGCTGAAGGCACCTGGGGGTCCCCCCCGTGAGAGGGGCTGAGGGCCCTGGGGGCTCCCTCCTCCCCGTGAGAGGTGCTGAAGGCACCTGGGGGTCCCCCCCGTGAGAGGGGCTGAGGGCCCTGGGGGCTCCCTCCTCCCCGTGAGAGGTGCTGAAGGCACCTGGGGGTCCCCCCCGTGAGAGGGGCTGAGGGCCCTGGGGGCTCCCTCCTCCCCGTGAGAGGTGCTGAAGGGAGCGGCTCTGAGGCTGAGTCCCCCCACCCCCACCCCAGGGCAGGACCGGGCAGAAGGGCGTCGGTCTCCCCGGAGCCCCCTTTCTCCCAGGGCCTCCTTCCCGGCTCCGAGATGCCTTCGGGGCTGTGCTCTGAGTCCGAGGTTTAGGATTCGCCTTCCCCCAGGAAGCGTTGGTGCCCCACGATCCGGGACTCCACCCTGGGAGGGACCTGGGGGGCGGGAAGGGGCTGGGGGGGCCTGGCCCCCGGCACAGGCGGGCATCTGCTGGACGTGCCTCCCGAGGAGCAGGTGTGACCTCCGCCAGGCCATGTCCCCTCTGTGGACACCTGGGGGTCCCCCCCCCCGTGAGAGGCGCTGGGGGCCCTGGGGGCTCCCTCCTCCCCGTGAGAGGTGCTGAAGGCACCTGGGGGTCCCCCCCGTGAGAGGGGCTGAGGGCCCTGGGGGCTCCCTCCTCCCCGTGAGAGGTGCTGAAGGCACCTGGGGGTCCCCCCCGTAAGAGGTACTGAGGGCCCTGGGGTCCCCCCCATGAGAGGCGCTGAGGGCCCTGGGGGTCCCCCCGTGAGAGGCGCTGAGGGCCCTGGGGTCCCCCTCAGCCCTGTGAGAGGCGCTGAGGGCACCGGGTGGCTCTCCCTGCACAGACCCCTACGTGAAGATCCACCTGATGCAGAACGGCAAGAGGCTCAAGAAGAAGAAGACGACGGTGAAGAAGAAGACGCTGAACCCCTACTTCAACGAGTCCTTCAGCTTCGAGATCCCCTTCGAGCAGATCCAGGTGCCTGGGCCTTGGGGGCCGGCGGGCGGGCAGGCGGGC